TGCATTTCTAATCGCCCTGATTTTGGACGCGATGCCGGTTCATACTGCGATCGTCTCGCCAGACCTCCACGTCAACGGGTACGCGTCGCTTTTCCGTGATTTTCATCTTACGCGTGTGCGACCTGAGGTGGGGAAGTATTTAACTTATGATGTGCATTTTTAATTTTTCTTGGACCTTCACGCCAGAAATTGCTTGAAAAAGAATGGAATTTCTGTTGGTCACTAGTACTCGCATAAGCCTACTTTTTCTAATCATCGCCGCTTGACGTGGGGCCGACGATCAGAAGCTTCGAGGCGAATCTACGACGATTTGGCGAAGGGCCTCACGATCCTGCTTTGGGGACCTTTCACGGACAAAAGAAGTTGCCCGCTGGCACTGCGCTCGCAACAGCAACACGGAGTGGTTTTTGCGATGTGGATGGAATCCTGACAGGACGATGAAACCTCACACGCCAGGGATGGAGTTGCACTCTCGCTTGAGAGAGTTCTTGAGGGAAAACATAAGCAAAAGCGCACATCTGAGCCATCCGCGAAGTTGCTCAAAGGGGTCCCCCTTTGAGACTTGTCCGAATTAATTGATATAATATAACTTACGCTTTTTATTTAGTAGGTGGCTGGTTGGCTGAAAAAATGCTTTCTAGTGGTGATTAGGATCAGCCACCAGGATTTTTTATTTTTGGCTGGATGGAGAAACGTCGCCAAAGCCTTGCAAAACATAAGCAAAAGCGCACACCTGAGCCATCCGCGAAGGTGCTCAAAGGGGTCCCCCTTTGAGACTTGTCCGAATTGAGTTTAATATTGAGTAGAATACTTAACTTGCGAAACGTTTTTTCCTTAATCAAAAAGTCGCTCCTTATTGAGAAGGCACATTTGAACAAGGGAAAGCGCTCACGTATATTTAAATCAAAAACCTTTTAAGCACGAGTACTGAGTTCCCTTCCCACGCACAAAAATTGCCTCTCCTTTTGGTGCTTCACATTTCCCCCTCCCCCCCAAATTACCATGCTGAAGTGTTTCCATACTCTCCTCAGGGCGCTAATTGGGGGGGGGGAGGGGGGGGTCGCAAAATTTGTGGAGGTGTTTTGGAAATAAGAGTGCTACAGAGGCGTCGCTAAGTGTCCTGCGATGTAGTGGGAGGCGTAGATCAAAAATAATATTACGTGCGAGAGACGTTTAGAAATAGGCACTCTGTAATAATGAGTGATAGCGAGTGCTCTCGCTCTGACGCTGAAAGTGCGGCTGTCCCACCATGGCGCGGAGACCAATGGACGGAGGCAAGTTCGGACTCTATCGCAATGCTATCGCCTAGTAATCGTGAAGAGCGGGCGAACATAGCGGATCTGTTAAACGAGATTAGCAGAAATAGAGAAATGCAGGCGTCTGGTCAAGGTGAAACTGCGTCTGCAGCTGCAAGCGCTTCTGCTGTTTCATCGTCTGCAGGTCCCGCGTCGGCTACCGCTGCTGGAAGCCTTCAGTCGTCACCTGCTGTATCAGTGTCTGGAGTGCCTGCCAGTGAAGCGTCTGATCACGTGAGCGTGGCAGCGGAAGCAAAGGGAAGTGGTGGCTGTAGGTCCTCTTCGCTTCTGTTAAGTCTTAAGGCTCCACTGCTAATATAAAGCGGCCACTTTTTACACATAGACTGAAGCTTTTTGATATAGATTTACCATATGAGGCCGGTCATTTTTATAAGGATAAAGGGTTTCGCAGTGCGCCATCTTTACATCCCACTACTAAGAGGGATGTAAAGATGGAGCACCACTCTGTTGCCCACGGTACCGTGGGCAACTCAGAAGGGAAGTGATTTCCCTTCTTTGCCTCGTTGTGTGAGTTCTTATCTCCCTGAAATCCCTTCAAAAAGTATCTTTTTTCATCTGGGCACTTTGAGCTCAGATGAAAAAAGAGGTCTTACCAGTTCACTTCCCGCATAAGAGTCCCTCACTGGCAAGTGGTACGCACAACCCTTACCAGTTAGGGAATATTAGGGGGGTTACGAACTGGTAAGCCCTATCAAAGAATTTCCAATGTTCTCGCGTACGCGCGTGCGATACATTTGAAAATCTTTTGATAGGGCTTGCCAGTTGTTCACTCCCACTAGAATCTGTACTGGTAAGGGTTGCGCGTACTCCTTACCAGTGACCGACTCTAGTGGGGAAAGGGAACTGGTAAGACCTTTATTTCATTTCTGACATTTTATCAATTTGTGAATTAACAAGCCCTCACGCACGTACTTTCCTCTTGTTTCTCACTTTTAAGG